CGAGGGGCGCCGGGCTAGGGCTGCGCCAGCCCGCTCCCGGGCCTGCCACCGGCCCACTGGGTGACCTTGGGCAAGTCGCTCTGCCTCTCTATGCCTCAGTTTCCCCGTCTGTAAAATGGGGATAATAATACTGCTCTACCTCACAGGGGTTGTTGTGAGGCTTCCTTGGCTAACGTTTGTAAAGCACTTTGAGATCCTCGGATGAGGGGTGCCACAGCAAGCCAGAGGGTCTTTGCGAAGGGTACCCGCAGTGGGGACTTGTGCAAACCAGCCCCCTTCTCAAGGGCTGTAGTAGGACGTGAGACACGAAGGGAATGACCTGATCCTAACAACTGAAGTTGACAGTGTCCTTTACAAAAATGATTTGTTCCTTACTTTTCCTTTATTTGTGGGTATCTGTCCATGAAGCTGCAGGACAGGCAGCTCCCCCGTCCCCACCCGAAACTGGGAATCAAAGCTGAGCCCTGACTTCCCAGATGCAGGGGCTTGCACCCCAACAGAGGTGCCAGAGTGGAAGGTAGGCGAGGGTTTGGTGGGCAAGGCAAACAAGGAAAGGTTAGGTGCTACCTTCTCTGGAGGCTGTGGTGGGAGAGGTCGGACCCCAGCTGCCCGCTTGCGGGGGCACGGAGAGCACCTCGCCGCCCTTGCCTGGGCACATGGCTGGCTGGCTCTGCCTGGCTGGGGCGGGGGCACCGGGTGGGGCGGCGGGCCGTGTCCCAGCAGGCACCTCCAGGCACCTGGCCCCAGGCAGGTTTCCTTGGCTTCTGGTCAGACGGGCAAGTGGGAGTCAGGTCCCTGGGGTCCCAGTCCTCTCTCTGAGGATCCGTGGAGCCCTCGGGCAAATCCCTTGACTTTGCTGCGCTTCAGTTTCCCCGTCCGGAAAGCGGGGACGGTAAACCTGACCTACCTCACAGGAGGTGTGAGGCTCCCTGCATCGCTTTGCAAAGTGCTCCAAGCTCCTGGGGCGAAAGGCACTCTGAATGCAAAGTGTTGGTAACATACCATTGTCACGCATGAGAGTCTGGGCAGGAAGGCGTGAGACCTCCCCGTTGCCCACAGAGCCCCCCAGCCCATCCTTGGAGGAGACCCCCCATGGGAGAGGACAGTGAGGGGAGGAAGGGATTTTTTTAAAGAACTATTTTTAGCTGTCCTAACCTGTTGGCCTTTTTTAGACGGTATCTGGACACAGTTCCACTTACCACAGGATATGCAACGCTGTACTATGCATGGATTACTCTTTGGCTTGATGGAGAAAGTCACTATAACCAATTTTTGAAACATAACTCTAGATGCATATGTGTGCGGGTGTTGTACGCAGCACGGGGGTCTCTGGGGGAGCGGGTGGGCTTGCAGCTTGGGCCAGCTCCTGCGGGGTCCCTGCTGTCGCAAGGGCTGTGGGCGGTCTGCAGAGGCTTTCCGGGGCATGCAGGGGTGAAGGCGCTGCTGGAGGTGCGTGCTGTGGCAGACACGTATGTGTGTAAGCATATATAAATACACGTAGGAGATACCTGCGAATAAACACAGGATGTGTACAACATGCTGTGCGATGACTCACAGCACCTTTTTGCCCTGTAGAGCTTTAGTTAGCTTTGCTTTGAATGAAATAAAGTTTATGTTTATTAGAGAAACTTGCACTAGTGTGGGTTGCTGTCGGTGCGCAGCAGCATTTCCTGTGTGTGCCGAGCGTGGGCTGTGTCCGGTCTCTGTAGCTGCTCGTCCCAGGTGGATGAGTGCCGCTGCTCTGCCTGCATCCAGCCGCTCCCTCCCGGACACCCTGGGGACAGGGCTGGGTGCTGCTTCCCAGCACCCACGGGTGGGTGTTGCCCCCTGGAGCCAC